TAGACCTAGGAGAGAATTAATACTCAATGGTCACCATGAGCATAACTATAGCTAAGGTAGCCTCTCCTTCATCTTCTTCCACTCTCCTAGCCATGAACCTAGTAATGGGACCTACATGCATCCTCAAGGAGGGTTCTCCATCACATTTTAATCACATGGTGATTATGTGTCCTTTGTTTTTTTGTAGAATTTTGTAGAACATGCTATTATTTTGTAGTATTATTTAAATATCTTAATGGTTAAGCTTCCAATCTATTATAGATTTCCATTTTAATTTGTAGAATTTTATAGATATTTATGGAGTTATTTAAGTATCTAAATTATTAAGCTTTCAACCCATTTAATCATTTGGTGATTAGGTATCTACTATGGAGAGTTTTATAGAACTTTTTAGAATATTATAGAATTATTAAAGTATCTAACAAATTAATTATAATTTTGAGAAACTAATATCATCATTAAAATCTTCACCATCAATGACATATAATTTGGTCTCTTGATCATCTCTTAATTATGCTAATTAATATTAATTTAATTAATTAAAATTTGCATATGTGTCATAATTTGATTGGTTGAGATTTGTATTTTAGTTTATTCTAGATGGAAATTTTTATTAATTATTCTAAGCATACTATAATTATGATAAAATTCTTTAGATCCTATTGAACATTTTTCCATAATTTTCTAACTTATTTTTTTTAACTAAATAAATTTCCTAACTTGAATTCTTGAATTTTTTTTTTATAAATTATAATTCAGAGATTTTCTTCCTTAACTATTATATTCTTAATCTACACTCAATAAATTATCATTTAGGTTACAAATTAGTTAAGTTTTCTTCAACTTAATTTCTCATATTTTATCACTTGTTCACAATGTTGTTTGGGAAACAGTCAAATTTAACAATAAAATGCTTGTTACTAAATTCAAAAAACATTTGTTAAATAACATTACATATATTTCATTCACAATAAACTCACATATTATTTATTTCATATAATATATAATAATTTAAATAAATTATATAGATAAAAAAATAGGATGTTACAATTATCACCACTCGAGATTACTTACACACAAGTGTAAAAGAAATACTATAAAAGTATTGACATATACAAGAATTGGAGTTGAATGGTGTTTATCAAAAACATCAACACATATTCAAAAGTCGTGAATTAAACATGTTGACTAGAGGGTGTGGATGAAACAATGAACACAAAGGATTTATATTGGTTCGTTTCAACCACTAAGACTACGTCCAATTCTTGATCAACTAATCAAGTTCTTGTATCTTTCTAAAAGATACAAAGTATTCTTTCACAAGCCATTGTTGGACCAACCCAAGTGTTATTTGACTTGCCTTTTCAAGCAAACTATCTAAGTATTTTTTTAATTAAGAAAGCCTCTCTAGGCTTTATGCACCAAGTACTCTTTAAAAATAAAACCTCTTTAGGCTTCAAGATAAAATACAAAGTTTAAGTTAGGTAAACTAACCAAGAATCATCTTACACACAAGATGTGATAAACAATTAAGTACAAAGTATGCTTTTATAGAAAGTATAAGAATAAAGAATAAGCATATGCATTCTTATTCTTTCTTTCTTAGTTCATTCAAGCTTCTTATATATTTAGCTTTGGAAGGTGACTATTGCAAATCCCTTATGTTTGTCTTGTGGGCTTTCTTCGTCTTCCTTCATCTTTCTTCCTTGTGTATAAATGTGTTTGATGGAGTACTTAAATCAATTATTTAATGTATTTCACCAAATGGTCATATCTTATCTGATCAATGATGCTTAGGGTATAAAAGGTAAGGAATTGTAGTGTGTAATACCCCCCACACTAAAACTTTTGTACTTTAGGGAAAAACTCAATTATTAGCCCAATACTAAAAATCTAAGTATGAACAAAACTCTAACACTTTTCAATGATCTACAAATGTATAGAAATAGAAAGACTATAAACATTTCAAACACCAAATTTACAAACAATTTATGAACACATTTATGACATTTAAAACAAGTAAGATGTCAAGTTAAATTAGAATATGATCCAAAAATGATAGAACCCTCTCAAGATAATGTTTACACTTTTAACATTCATGTGTTCATGTTTGTATTTACATATAAGTACCTCATGCAAACTAGCACTACTAAACTTTGACTAGCCTTTTAATTTCAACTACTTAAAACACATGCAACTAAAGATTAGCAGGACTTATGAAGCTTGAAATGTGGCCAAGGTAAAAGTAAGATACGAGATAGGATTTTAGGTAATAAATCCAAAGAGAAAACGTGAGTAATGATGAATAAGCTAAATAAGCATAAAGGCAACCCTATTTTCTTCCCTTTTGTTTCCCATTTTATATATACCACAACTTTTTTTTTTACTTCATTGCATTTATTTGTAATTTTTTTTATTCATGTCTTTTTCTTTCTTGCTTTCTTTCTTTTGAAACTAATGTCAAATAACTCAACAAACATCAAAATACACCACAATATTTACAAAACTTTGGGATTACACCCCCACACTTATTTAGAACTCCAATATTTGCAATGGTGGGAGACACCTACAAAGACACTTCAATGCTCAAATTAGAGGAGAGTTCAAGTTAAGAATGAGATTATGGTAGAATAATGCATGGCGTCCCATATATAAGTTGATTGATCTTATCTCAAAGTTTAGAGATAATATTGTGTGATATCTTGAAGATATATTACGGTGATTGCATGGAGATACTGTTCTTGATAACTGAATATAATGTGTTTGATTATGATATTTTAGAAGATATTCATGCCAAGTTATCCTACTGGTCATTAGGAGTTAACTACCTAGGGTTTCAATTTATAATGATGGGTTGGAGGATTAGTGTGGGTGAGTAGGAGAAAGACAACTCAACTTAGTTGAGTTTGACGGTACAAGGATGATTACAAGAGAATAGAAATTAGGTTGATTTTTTTATTGAACAAACCAGATTGCATGAAGTTCGTTCCTAGTTATATAGACCAAAAAGGTAATTAAATTAAAAAGTTTTATTTGATTAATATTAGCCTAAATTACACTTTTGGTCACCTTATAATATCAAATATGCAATTTTAGTTCTTTTATTTTTAATTTTATAATATTCACTTTGTTCACTCGTTGAATCTTGTAGATACATAAAATTGTAATGTTGATTTACAATCAAAATTTAATAATATTTTGACTAAATTTTACTTTTAATTTTTATTTTCATCTCACAAAAATAATAAAATGAGATAAAAATAAAAATTAAAAGTGTAATTTAATCTAAATATTATAAAATATTAATAATTATATTATTTACTTAATATCATATCATTACCGATGTTACAATTTTTTGAATTAATAAATGAACATTTAATGAGAAGATCAAAGTTATAAATTTTACTAAAATTGAAGAACTAAAATTACAAAATAAAAAAAGTCAAAAATTGCAAATCATATTATAGGAGGATTAATTGAATACAAGATTTTGAATGAAAAATAGGAGTAATATTAGGTACATAAAAGTATATCTTTATGATATAAGAGTAAGGATGAGAATAAGTTAGGAGTCTATGACCAAACTTGTTTAAAATTTGGCCTACTCTAACCTATTTAACGAAAAAGTGAGGCTTATATTTATAAAAAAAATTAGTTAAACCTAATAGGTCAATCTATTTATCTATGCTATAATAAAAATAATATATATATAT